GAACACTTCACCTACAGCTGCAAACTACACATTCTTTTCCAACGCACGTGGAACGTTCTCCAGAATAGACCACATCTTAGGCCACAGAGCAACCCTCAGCAAAATCCAAAACAGTGAGATAATACAAAGTATCTTCTCTGACCACAACGCCATCAAGGTAGAAATTAACAACAGGAAGAGCAAGGAAAAAAAATCAATTACATGGAAACTGAATAACACCCTGCTTACACATTACTGGGTAGTAGAAGAAATCAGAGATGGAATCAAAAAAATTCCTAGAATGAAAACACATCATACCAAAACCTTTGGGACACAGCAAAGGCAGTCCTCAGAGGACAATTTATAGCAATAGATGCACACATCAAAAAAGAAGAAAGGGACAAAATCAAAACATTAACTACACAACTCAAACAAATAGAAAGAGAACAGCAAAAGAAGCCCACAGCCACCAGAAGAAAGGAAATAATAAGGATCAGAGCAGAAATAAATGAAATAGAGAACAGAAAAACAATAAAAAGAATCAACAAACCCAAAAGTTGTTTCCTTGAAAGGATCAACAATATTGACAAACCACTGGCCAGACTGACAAAAGAAAAACAGGAGAGGATGCAAATAATCCAAGTAAGAAATGACACAGCTGAAATAAAATGAATCATAACAGAGTATTATGAGAAACTATACTCCAACAAATTTGAAAACCTAGAGGAAATGGATATATTTCTAGAAACACACTACCTACCCAAACTAACACAAAGTGATGTTGAAAATCTGAACAGACCCATAACAAGAGAAGAGACTGAAAAGGTAATAAAAAAAACTTCCAACAACAAAAAAAGCCCTGGCCCAGATTGCTTGACTGGAGAATTCTACCAAACATTCAGAGAAGAGCTTACACCAGTACTATTCAAACTATTTCAGAACATAGAAAAGGAAGTGACACTTCCAAATTCATTCTATGAAGCCAGCATAACCCTGATACCAAAACCAGGTAAACACGCCACAAAAAAAGAAAATTACAGACCAATATCTCTCATGAATATAGATGCAAAAATTCTCAACAAAATCCTAGCCAATAGAATTCAGCATCATATAAAAAAAAAATACACCATGACCAAATAGGATTCATACCAGGTATGCAAGGATGGTTCAACATTAGAAAATCAATCAACATAGTCCATCACATAAAAGGAAAGAAGAGAATCACATGATCATCTCAATTGATGTCAAAAAGGCATTTAACAAATCCAACACCCACTCGTAATAAAAACTCTCAATAAAATAGGTATAGAAGGAAAATTTCTCAACATAATAAAGGGCATCTATGCAAACCAATGGCCAACCTCATTCTTAATGGAGAGAGGCTGAAAACATTCCCCTTGAGAAGAGGAACAAGACAAGGATGCCCTTTATCACCATTCCTGTTTAATATTGTGCCGGAAGCCTAGCTAGAGCAATAAGGCAAGAAAAAGAAATAAAGGGCATCCAAATTGGTAATGCAGAAGTTACACTGTCCCTATTTGTGGATGATAAGATACTATACATAGAAAACCCTAAAGACTCCATGAGAAAACTATGGGAACTAATAGAAAGAGTCAGCAGAGTAGCAGGATACAAAATGAACATACAAAAATCAGTTGGATTCCTATACACCAATAAACAGAATGATGAAAAGTAAATCATGAAAATAATACCATTTGGAATATCCCCTAAAAAAATAAAATATTTAGGAATAAATCTAACCAGGGATGTAAAAGACTTAGACAAAGAAAACTACAAAACACTCCTGCAAGAAACCAAAAGAGATCTACGTAAATGGAAAAATATATCATGCTCATGAATAGGTAGACTCAACATTATGAAAATGACAACTCTATCCAAAGCAATTTACAAATACAATGCAATCCCAATCCAAATACCAATGACATTTTTTAAAGAGATGGAAAAACTAATCATGAACTTTATATGGGAAGGGAAGAAGTCCCAGATAAGTAAAGCACTATTGAAGAAGAAGAATAAAGTAGGAGGATTCGCACTACCTGACCTCAGAACCTACTATCCAGCTACGGTAGTCAAAACAGCCTGGTGTTGGTACAACAACAGATACATTGACCAATGGAACAGAATTGAGAACCCAGATGTAAGTCCATCCACCTATGGTCACCTGATCTTCAACAAGGGCCCATCCATCAAATGGGGAAAAGACAGTCTTTTTAACAAATGGGGCCGGCAAAACTGGATGTCCACCTGCAAAAAAAATGAAACAAGACCCATACCTCACACCATATACAAAAACTAATTCAAAATGGATC